TTCTGCCACGATTTTGGGGTGGGCACCCCTCCGCCCGGGCGCTGGGGATGCTCTCGCGGGTTGTCTGGGGGTTTTACGCAGAGCCCGGGCTCCCCGTGCGATGCTCAGACGCTGCCTCCTCGGTTCGCCCTGCGGGTCCAAATGGCCTTTTGAGAGAGGTCTTATTTATTTCCCATTTTCATTAGCCTCATCTTCCCAAACGGTTTCCCTGATGGCAGCCAAACAACTTTTCATTCATCTTCAGAGATGATGTTCTCTCTTGCCTGTGGCTTTGCCCCCCTGCTGAGACCGTTTTTATACAGTAAATTAATTTTTGATAGTCAAAGCCATCAGGATGACTTGGTCAGTTCCCAGTTACCCTGTTGCACGTCCCTTAAATAGATCAGCGTGAGGCTCTGCAGTTTGTGCGATTTCAGAGCCAGGGAGTGCAATTCCTCCTTCCTCCCCCTAACACCAGGTCAGATACCGCGCGGGGGATTTTTGGACTAAATGAGAACCACATCCCCGGGGCAGATCCAAAGCCTGGCTTTAGCTCTGCACTCAAGCACCTCATTCACAAGCTGAGCCCAGCACCTGTCAAACCCCATCCTGGGCACTTTCTTTACCCGTTCTCTTAACGAAGCCCATCGCTCAGTTAAATTTACTGATACACGATGTGAAAACAAACCCAAGTTGACAATCTGGCCGCAGAGAGCAGCACGGCTCCGTCTGCCTGGATGCTCTAACAGGTGTTTTTGCTTTGTAGGTATCTCGTGACGGAGGGGCAGATTTTCATCCTCTACATTTTCACTTTCTTTGCCATGATGGCTTTAGTGATGCACCAGAAACGCAAGGGACTGGTCCTGGACAGCAACGGGCTTTTTCTCTTCTACTCCTTCATCATCACGCTGGTCCTCATCGCTGTCTGGGTGGCTTGGCTGTGGAATGACAAAATTCTCAGGAAGAAGTACCCGGGCGTGATCTATATCCCCGAGCCGTGGGCATTTTACACCCTGCACATGAACAACCTCCATGCAGCAAAGGAAAGTTTATAAATTTTTATATTTTAGAGTGATTTGAAGAAAAAAAAAATTCTAGTTTTTCTAATGTAGATGTATTTCAAATAAATTCCTGACCAACACAAGCTGCGAGACCTATCGTATGTTAACCAGACCTAGCTAGGGAAGGGGTGTTCGAACAAAAATTGTGACTTAATGCTTCAACGCCGGGGTTAGGGCTGGACCTTTGTGGGTGCTCAGGGGACACCAAGCCCCTCCCGGATCAGAGCCGGGGTACAGCAGCCCAGCCCCACTGTGGCCCACACCCCCACCAGTTCCCCATCCCATCACTGCCCCGCAGAACATCCCAGCCTTTAACAGGAGCGGTTTCTCAGGAAGTCGGAGTCTGAAGGGAGAATCTTTACCCCATGAGATGTAAGGACCCTGAGCGTGTCCCTGTAGCAGCGTCTGCTGGGCTAGAGTGGTCACTGTGGCCACTAAATATTTTGTTCTCAGGTCTAGGTCTCCACCACAGCCTGGCATCGGTACCTCATCCCCCCACGCATGTGCTAGCCCTGCCTGCACAGCCCCTGGGTTTCTTTTTGGGATCCTTGAAGGACCAGCACATCTGGAGAGGCAGAGCATCGCCCATCCCAGCACTCAGGCGAGCTGCTGGCTCAGCTTTCTGGGATGTAGATCCACAGAAAATCCTTGCTGTTCAGTGGCTTGAATGCCAACAGAGCAGCAGAAGCTGCTGCACTGGAAGGGACCAGAAGACTTGAGCAAATGTGGCTGTTTGTCAGGGCTGGTCCCCAACAGCTGGAGGCTGCTGCCACCACCCCAGACCCAGGTTTAACCCCCCCAGACCCAGGCTTAACCCCCAGCCACTCTCCAGCTCCCTCATCCCTCCCTCACCCTCAGCATCATTTCCTTGGCATCCTCCTTCCAAGTCCCATCCAAGGGCTGCAACCAGACGAGGCTGTTTGCTCCCAAGCAGCTGTGCTAAATAAATGCTGATAAATAAAAATTCAAGACAAATTCCCTGCAAACCCCCCAGACAGGGCACAGCGATGCTGCCAGTGCCCCAGGACCTGCAAAGCCTGATTTTTTTTTGAATTAACTCCTTCTGCCCACCAGCAAACCCCCCCAGCAGTGAACCCCAAAGCTCTAAATCCCCCCGTGCCCCTCCCCAGCAGACACCAGTAAGGCTGGATTTGTCTCCCAGCAGCTAAGCTTAGCTCAAGGTGTGCGGCTGTTTGAGATGATCCAACCTTTTGTGCTCAACCTGCTCGTCTCCACCCCGACCCCAAACACCCTCAAACCCCATCCGAGGGAAGCTCTCGCCCCGCTCCTCCTGCCAGCATCGCTGCTTGAGGTCCTGTCCCGAGCCCCGAGGTTTTGGGGGGGGCTGGCAGGAGCAGGAGCCGTGCTGGCAGCAGGATCCAGCCCCGGCAGGGATCAGGTCTCGTAGCCATAGCAGCGGGGTATTTATTACAGCCCGGCCGCGCTCCACCCCGCGCTGGCGGACTTTAGCCCTTCATCGAATAGAAAAGTAACAGCAGACACCTGTGATCCCAGCGGGCAGCAGAAAACACAAGGAGGGTCCCCGAAATCATGGTGAGTGAAGCGTTTCAGCCGATACAAACAGCTCACCCCCACTTGCCCCATCCTGATTTTAAAGCTTTTTTTTTTTTTTTTTCCCTTCTCTTTCTCCTTCCTCCCTTCATGGTACAGGCAAAATTTCTGTCCCAGGATCAAATTAACGGTACGTACAGGTTTTTGGGGTTTTTTTAAATTATTATTATTATTAGCAAGATCAGTGTAACAAATTCATAGCTCGTGGCTTTTCCCCCAAAAGGCTCTCAGTCTGGGCTCTGCTTGCCCTTCTCCCAGCTCTTCAGGGGATCTGCTCGCTCTGAAAACACAGAAATCTCCCTGATTTCACTAAAAAAGCACTAAGCATGGGCAGGGAGCTGAAACCACGGGCAGAAAATTTCAGGTGCCCGTTTGCAGTCCTGGAGCCCGACACGGATGCGTGTAGGTGCAGGAGGAGGAAGAAGGTGCAGGAGGAAGGAAAAGGTGCAGGAGGTACAAATTCTTGGCGCAAGGCACCGGAGCTCTCCCTGGGAACAGGAACCCCTGCCTCAGCCGGGAACGAGGACGGGTTCGCTTAGGAGACCGGCAGAAGAAAGCTGAAATAAGAGTATTACCACAAATCTGATAATCTGCAGCTCTGCGGGATTGCTGGAGGGGGGCGTCGGGGGCGGGGAAGGCCCCAGCACCCACGGAGCCCCCATCCCCCCTACCCCCGCCTGCAGAAAGGTCCAGGGACAGAGAGGATGAGGATGGTGCTGGAGGGTGATCCCATCAGCACAGGCTGGGGTTTATTCTCCTGTCCCCATGCAGCACAACTTGTCCCGGGCACAGTGCGGGCAGGGAGGATGCGAGCTGGCAGCCTGATCTGGGTCAGCTGCAATCCTTATTTATTTGAAAAGGGGGAAGGCAGCGTGCCAGGGGAAGGGGAGAGGGCGAGGGGGCAGGCGAGGAGCCCGGGGAGCAGCGAGGGAGGGGAGATGCTGTGGTGGGACGGCGGCAGGGCTGGGACGGGCTCTCCTCTGCCCGACTCGTGGTTGGCAGCACTCGGGCTGTCGAATGCGACGTTATTGGGTTTTTTTTAATTAAAATGTAGCTGTCTACCTGCACAGTGGCATGGGTGAGGGACAGGGACCAAACCAGCATCCTCCAGCGCTCCTTAAGGCTCATCCCTTCAGCATCCCCTCCTACCCTCCACGGAGACAGAGAAAATTTAAACAATTTTCTACATATTTGAAGACCTGGCTCCACTTTCAGACTTTCCTCATTAGGCTGAAGGACCCCAATTAGCTCAGCTCTTCACAAGACTGGATTTTAATTGCCCTTGGCACTTCACCCAGGGTCCTCCCCCACCACTGTCCATCATCTTCCTTGAAAGCAGACACCCCAAAGCAGACACAAAACACCCGCTGGAACCCTCCCAACGCCGCCCGCCCGGGAGAAACGTCACCTGCAGCTCAATGTCACCTTACATGGCATAACAGAGAGTTTTGGTTTTTAATTAGAGTTCAAGGAATGTTTTTCCCTGTACGACAAGAAACAAAAAGGCAAGATAAAAGCCTCGGACCTGCTGGCAGTGATGCGGTGCCTGGGAGCCAGCCCGACGCCGGGAGAGGTGCAGAGACACCTGCACCTGCACAAGATTGGTGAGCGGCGTGCGGCGGTGGCGTGTGAATAAAATGCTGGGATTAGGGTTGGGGAAATCCAACTATTTTTGTGGCTATAAGGCTACATGCAAAGCCACGGAGGCTGCCGGATAATATTCAGTCTTGGGTCAAACAGCCCTGGGGATGCAGCGTAAGCAAGAGTAGCCACCCAAACCCGGTCCCATGTGCTGGATGGTGAGCAAAGTCAGCCCAGCACCCACTAAAATAGTGCTGCTGGAAAAAAAAAAAAAAAAGGTTCAAGAGCAGCAGAAGGCATATGTATTGATTGTGGAATCTGAGGCTGGGAAACCGTTCTGTCCAACCCACAGAAGAGCACAGAAAGATATTTCATCTTATAAATAAAATCCGAAGCACAGCACAAAGACCAAAGAAGAATGATGAGATAGGGTGGTCTGGATTAAAAATTCTGGATCAAGAGTCTAGCAAAGCTACACATGAGTTTTCAGGCCAGGAGAAAGCCCCCAGGAGCCTGGACCCTCATCCCGACCCGAGTCAGGAAAATGGGAAAAAGTGCCCCAGGAAGGGGAACGGGGTGCTTAGGTCTGGATCCAAACTATGGATCTGAGCCCTTCCTAAAGAACCTGCTCTTCTTTCTCCAGACAGGAACGCAGAGCTGGATTTCTCCACTTTCCTGAATATAATGTACAGGCAGATGAAGCAGGAGGAGCCTGAGAAGGAGATCCTCACGGCCCTGTCCATGATCGACCGGCAGAAGAGGGGCATCATCAGCGCTTCGGAGCTGAGAGCCAAGCTGACCAGGCTGGGAGAAAAGCTTTCCGAGGAGGAAGGTATTCCATAAGATAAAGACATGAGAAAGAGGGGGACTTGTTAATTAAGATGCTTTTTTAAAAAAGAAAAAAAAAATTGTCCTGTTTGTCAAAAATCTGCTTCCAAGGGGCACGACAGGAGGGAATTTCCAGGAAGCTGAAAATGATCAAAATCTTCCAGACAGCTGATTAGCCCCTCAGCGTTTTATGTACAGACATTTTTAGCTGTATGCCCCACTTTCCCAGCTTTCAGAGGCTGCAGGAAGGCAGGGCAGTGCTCTGCACACCCCGCTGCCCATCAGCCCCGGAGATGGGGTGTCCTGTCCCCTCCTGTCCCAAAACCACGTCACCTGCGGCTTCTCCAGCTCTCGCCGAGGTCTGGCTCCTCTGCTGAGAGCAGACTCCGGAGCTTTCACATTAATGCTCCATCTTTGGCAGAGAGCAAGGAGAAAAACCCATCAGTGGTTTGATACAGGCAAGGAGTGAGCTTTTCCAGGGTTATGGGGTTTGTACGGACCCCGTCAGGCTGGTAGAACCGTCCTTTCTGACGTTCAAGTGGAATTTAGACCTCAGCAGAGCAAGGCTGGCCAGCCCAGGCGCCGTCACCACCAGCCATACACCAAGGAGGCATTTCTTCCGAGCGTTTTCTTCAATTAACTGGAATAACAGTTCGTGCAGCTATTTACATCCGAAAACACTTCCAGAGCTATTATGAGAGTGAAGACACTGAGACACCAACCCTAATTGAAGGCACCCCAGCACGCACCGCTGTTGGATAAGGAGGATTTGGGAGGTGCAGGGGGTTTCCACTCCTCTGCCCTACAGGCTGTGTATCGACCCCCAACGGGCAACAAGGCACCGCAGACCCCAACGCAGGGAGCGATGCTTCTCCTCAACAAGAGATTCCCCCTTGGCTTGACACGCTGAACCCCAGCTCGCTGCTATAAATATTTGATGCCGGAACAGACTCCATGTCATTAGCATCGGCGACTGCTCAGTAACTACCGGCACGTACCTTCATTTACAGCGGCTCCAGAAAAGCCTTCGCTTCATTTTAATTTAACGGACTTTTACCAAATGAGAACTGACACATTTTTC